GGAACGGCCCGTTGCTCCCTTGATGCCCCCCCAATACACCTGGAGCTTTATTTCAAATACACAAAACAGCTGGTGTTCATGATTTGCGGCTTAGCGCAAACAGCAGAGGGAATTTATTTTCCAAGCTGCCTGGGTTGGCAAGCCTCCAGGATTCATCAAAAGGAGAGATAAGGATGACGAGAGCGATAATGAGGAGAACGGAGCTGCCTCGTTGGTCTTTGTAAAGAGACATAAGAGAAGTATGGCCTCCATAGGACATTCCAGCGTTGCAACACATCCTCAACTTGACCCTGGACAGATTTAGAGCAGAGCCTTCCCAGGACCCGTGAAACTCAAGAGATGACCCCATGTGCTTGACAGGGTTGTGCTGGGAGCTAGACCTAGGGAGAGTCCAGGCAGTGGTCCTTTGGTTGGGTCTAGAGGCAACTGTATCTATACAAAAACTGGGGGGAGGGGGGAGAAAAACAATATATTAAAACCCAACAATATTTTTTATGAAGTTCTTTATTTTTACTTTTATTTTATTTGCATTGGTGTTTTGCTACATGTATGTCTGTGTGAGGATATCTGATCTTGGAGTTACAGACAGTTGACAGCTGCCAAGTGGGTGCTAGGATTTGAACCCAGGTTCTCTGGAAGAGCAGTCAGTGCTCTTAACCACTGAGTCATCTCTCTAGTCCCAAAACCCAACAATATTATAAGTGACTTCGGGTTCAACTGTGCTTCTCTGTAAACTATTGAGATCCTTGCTTTCAGTGTCATAAGCCCCAAGCAAGCAAGAGTCCACTTGAAGAAAATGCCCGTCACTTGATTTGTAGATGAACTGCCAGCGGCTGGTGAGGGACCCTCTCCCACACACGCTGAGTGTCCCTACTGACACAGGAGGTAGGAAACACTTCATTAGCTCACTTCATTCTCTTGGTAAGGCATTGTGGATTCTAACACCATTCACACTTTAATGATAGAAAGCCAGCCGTGGTGGTTACACACATGTCATCCCAATACTTTTGAAGGCAGAGGCAAGTATTTCTCTGAGTTTGAGACCAGCCTGGTCTACATAGCAAGTTTCAGATCAGCGAGGGGTACATAGTGAGACCCTGTCTCAAAAAGAATAAAAAAATAGGCAGAGCTTGGCATAACTAACTCAGGGGTGCAGCGCTTGCCAGGCAGACACAGGGCCCTGCATGTATCTCCAGCACTTCACCCCTGAGAAAGGAACGAGAAACTGAGGCTTTCTGAGAGTACGCCATGGTGCAAGTTCACATGGCTGAAGGAGCCGGGCCATTCTGCTGCTCCCCACCTCCTGTGACCACAAGGCAGGCGTGCATGGCATGACGCCTAAGTGACTGCAGGTCGGCGAGTGGCTCAGTATGGAGAACACACAGGCAGCGGCGACTCCCACACCAGCTTCAGACTGCTGTCCTCAGTCAGTGGTTCCACAAGCATCTTTTGGTCCCGAGAGAACCTGGAGTAAGACCTGGAAAGAGCTGAGTCCTGCCCCCTCCCTCCTCACACACACACACACACACACACACACACGCACGCACGCACGCACGCACACAGACTGTGAAGAAAACTCGGGTTGGGAGACCTTAAGCTATAGAGTGATCTCTGCACAATCATCAGTACCTGAATATGGTCTGCAGAACCCATGGCAGCAAACACTTTTAACCCCGGCACTGGGAAGGTAGAAACAGTTGGATCTCTGGGAGATCACTGGCTAACTGGCCTAACTGAACTGGCAAGTCCCAGGCCAAGGAGGGGCTCTTGACAACCTGGGTTCAATCCCCAGGAACCACTTAGTGGAAGGAGAGAACCCATGTCCCCAGACCCCCACCCCACCCCACCACAAACACACAACACACACACACACATGGAAAAAGCAAACTTTAAGCCTGGATGAATGAATACATCGGGGATTGGGGACCAGCCTTGACATACACGCGTGTTCTTGGTACATGAACACATACCAAGAGCACCAAGACTGACGAATTAGCTCCTTTCTACCCTCACTGCCATCTTTATGGGTGGGAAATCCTGCAGACACTGACTCGATGATGCACAGAGAGAGGCCTTTCTGACTAAAATGTCTTCAGGAACTTTTGTTGTACCCGTGCAGGTTTATAACAGCTCTGGTTTTCTTTGTCTGTGGGGCTTTCATTTAGGAAACAGGACGTTTTCGTTATTCATCTAAGACAAGAAACATGCAGCCCCTGAGACGCTTCCCTCCATAAACTGTAGAAAATAAAATCTAACTCCCCCATCCATGTGGTTTAGGGAAATAGACAAAGAATAACGTTAAAAAATAATTTAAAGCAAATTCCCAGATGCGGCCCTCTCTGTTTCTTTCCGTCTAGAGCCCATTATTGGGCACCCCTCTCCTTTAAGTGACCTGCCTTATCTCTGTATTACTGTTTACCCAAATGAACTCCTTCATTTCGCTGTAAACTTGGTGCTTCCTGCCTCTCCATCCCCACGTTTCCATGCAGGAAGAGCTTTTGTTCTCATCTGCTGTCACAACACGTCAGCTGAAATCGTCCCCAGCGCTAACAGAAGCGCCATAAATCCACGATAAACACGAACATTTGAAAATTAAAATTCCTATCTTTATACATATCTTTTAAAGTGGATTCGGGTCTACAGAAATATATTAATCACGAGCCTCGGAGAATGGCATGCTCATCAGTGATGGGGCTTTATCTAGAGCCTTCCCCACCCTCCTGCCTCTCCCTGACGGTGATAATCATCACTTGGGATCCTGGGTTTTCATCCTGTTGTCTGAAGTCATCTCCCTGGAAACAGAGCCTGTACCAGTCTTCTGTAAGTGATACCTCTGTGGGGGAGGGTGATCTCCAAACGACCAGCAGAGTGAAGGGAGGGAGGGAGTTGAACATGGATGACCTGCCTGACTCTGTTGTCAACAGGCCCCATCCTGACCCCCCAGGATAAGTGGAGCCTGTTGATATTCAAGTATCAGTCCTACCTTGAGGCAAATAATTAATTGTTTCTTCTCTTGAACCAGAGAATCATGAGCCACATTGGAGAGGCGGGGTAAAGGAGAAAAGCATAGCTTCCTAACTGAGGCAGACTATTTGACCAACATCAAAGTCTCTAGAAAGGGGAGTAAGGCCTGGGCCAGCCGGATGGCTCTGTGGGTAAAGGCACTGGCTGCCAAGAGCCTTTACCAGAACCCACATGGCGGAAGGATAGAACTGACTCCTAAAAGTGGTCCTCTGACCCGCATGAATGTACACGCACATGCACACACGGGCACGCACACACGGGCACGCACACGTACACACACATTTGCACATAGAGGGGAGGACGTACAAATGCGGCGTTTGTTTTCTTTTGTAAGAAGGAAGGAAGTGAGATTTGAACAGTTGGCAGTGAACGCTCACAGCAACTAGGAAGTCAGTGCACTTTACAAGGAAGAGGGGGTCAGGGCAGGTCTTCCCTTAAATAATTTTACCAAAATGTATATATATGTCTTCCTTATATATGTATGTGTTGTGTGGGCATGTCCGTCCGTGTGTATATCTGTGTGGTTATGCAGTATTAGCTTTCTAAAAAAGAAACCATTAGATTTTGGTTGATAGACAACGTGTCAGTATGTGACCAAATGGTACTTTATTTACCAGCGTTCGTACTGATGAGCTGTCGAGCTATTTCTAGGTCTTCACTGTGATTACCATTGTTTCTATGACTCTTCTTGCATAAATCTCCCATCCAATCTCTCAGGTTTGCTTCTGGGGTGGAAGTACCTGGATCATGAGCTGTAAGCTTCGGGAGATAGTGAGGTAATGGTTTCCACATTCGTGGTTTTACTAATTCATCTGCCCGCTAAGAATATGTAAGAGACCCTTCCGTTCACATCCACTCCGACGTTTCCCTTTCTGTCAACAGATTGAGCAGAGTGGTATCTCACTGCGAGCTTGTTCAGAACGCCCTCCATCCCTCACCATCCCTGTCAGACATACTTCCTTCCTCTTACGTGATATGCTTGCTCAGATAACTTACCTAATTCCCCCACCAGGTTATTTGTGTTTTCTTCCCGATCTCCAGGTCTGCATATATTCTTTGTTGTGTGTTGTGAGTTATAACTTGTTTGGCCATATCTTTTAAAGAATTAATGCCCTTGGTTTTATTCTAGTCACACAGATCATTCTTTTTTCTGGCACCTCATGCCTACTTAAGGAATCTGAAGGAAAAATCTCCATCTGAGGGCAGGGGCCAGAAACGGAGCCAGGTTACAGGTGGGTCACAGAGGCAAGCATTGTGTTGAGTACAAAGACGTCCAGCTGGCGGGTGTGTTCTGGTTATAGAAGTAGACATATCATTCTATTAGAGCTGGGTGCCATTAAAAATTCCAATCATAGACTCTAATTAACTTTCCTTGCTCCGACGCCTGCTCGGTAAGCAGCCTCCTGATTATAATTTGGCTGCCCGTGTATCTCGCCTACAGGGAGAGAATGTACTGAGAATATCCTGTTCAGGCCGACGTGAGGATCCAATCCATTAAACAGTTACATGCCATGATGTAAATTAATAAATTCGTATTCTGATTTTATCATCTGCCTCATCCAGGCTCGGAAGGCGTGAGTCAGCATCCCCGGGTCTAATCAACACGGAAGCTGTGGATATCAAGCTTCTGGGCTGAAAACCAAGGAACTAGAACCAGCCAGAGAGAAATCACCAAGGTAACATTGCCCCAGAGGCCCCTCTGCCTGATGAAATAGGCCCGCGCACATGTCATGCGATAGGAACAGGGATTCAAATTTACTTTTGACATTATAAAGAGCTGCATATTCAAGACTGTGGCTCAGTTCCATTCAGGTGAAGGCAAAGAATAAAGGATGATCATAAACCTATATTGAATATTTATTGGCTTATGAGGACACACCAGATGCTGCCCAAATCCTAGGCAGAAGGTTAAGATTTACAGACATGATTGAAAACAGGGGGGAAAAAGGCCCACAAAAACGAAAACCGCAACACAATCAGGGCAGATGGTAAGTGCTAAGGAGAGATCAGGAGGTGTCTGGCTGCTGATGAAGTCTTGTTCCCAGTTGGTACTCAGGGTCCAGGATGCAAGTAGAAGGTGACTTTGAACACAAGAGGAAAGAAGCCAGGAGGCGGAAACACAGGAGACACCAGGGCTCAAGCTGGAATGTGTTGAGGGCCTGAGATTGTCCAGGCTATAGGGATGATTTAGGGCCTGTGGGGTGAGGGCAAGATCTCTGAAGTGAGTTCAAAAGGCAGAGCGGAGAGGAGGCCAATGGGACAGATGGTGCTCACGGAGTGATCCTGCAGTCTACTCCCCGTTTCCTCCGTGACCCATGTGAGCATCACCTATAGTAAAACTGACCTTTCTGAGAGTCTCAGTAACGCCAAACATAAAGAGAAGAGGGTAACAATAACAGGCATCATCTGAACACCGAGCCTTGGGATGGACAAGAAGCCTGGCTGTATGCTCAAGCCAACAACAACAACAACAAAAAAAAATTAAGAGTAGCCAGGTGTGGTGATGCCCATCTTTAATCTCTTTAATGTACTTCAGAGGCAGAGCCAGGGGCCTCTCTGTAAGTTCGAGGCCAACTTGGTCTATATAGCAAGTTCCGGGATAGCCATGGCTACATAGAGAGACCCTATCAATAACAACAACAACAACAGTAATAGGAGTAGGAAGAATAAGCAGGCCAGAAAGACCAATGTTGATGGTTCAATAGGATTTGTTCCTCAAAGAAAAGTGTGTTTCTGAGCTGGGCCCCACTCCTGGGGAGACTGAGGTAGAAACACTGTTTGACCCAGGAGTTTCAAGCTAGCATGGGCAACATAATAAGACCCTGTCTAAAAGAAAAAAGAAAGAAAAACAAGTCAGAAAGAGGGAAAATGCAAGGAGTTCTAAAGATAAGCACTGTCTCCCCCAGCAGTTCCCATAGTTCCCCGCTGGAGCCAGATCCCTGGCCTGGCTAGACGTAGAGACCAGAGAGCCACTAGAAGTGTTCCGAAAGTGAGGCAGCCATATTTATGTGACTGGGGCCTGCCCAACCATGCATGGGTAGAGAGGCATACCAGGGGCTGAGCAACATAGCAGGACCAAGCACTACACTCATAGAAGAGCTCCTCGCGGGCCCACCAAGAGGTCGCTCTCTAGGGAGCAGTGCTGACTGCTGACGGAGAGCCAGCTGAGCCAGGAAGGCTCTGATCCACGCAGGAAAAGTGATCTTCTTTAACAGCGGCCTCTGTGGTGGCTTATGGCTGAAATACGCGTGCTCCTTGACTAGTAGAGGTTGTCCCGCACGTGCTCCATGATCGTCTTCAGTCCTAGCCATGTCTCCTCTGCGGTGGGGATGATCTGGCTGGCCGGCAAGAGGAAGCCATAGTGCCCGGTGTCTCTCAGCTCAAATGTGAAGGCATACTTGATGCCGTTGTCATACGCCCAGTCGATGCTGCTCCCACTGGCTGGGTCTGTAAGACAGAAGAGGATACCATTGACACCGACTTCCCTCCAGGGCGCTGTGGGAAAGGGCAAGCGCTCTGTCTGGATGGTGTCTGGGATATCTGTGCGCTGTGTGAAGATGTGTCATTGGTGTTATGAAAAGCTGGACAGCCAATAGCTAGGCAGGAAGTAAAGGCGGGATTTCCAGGGAAAGGAAAAGGAGGGAATCGAGGCACTCAGGAGATGCCACCGGGAGGTGGAACGAGTTGGACACACAAAATGGGAGAGAGGTAAAAGCCATGTGGTAGAATGTAGATCACTAAAAGTATGGGTTAATTTAAGTTATAAGAGCTAGAGGGAATTGATAATGTCCCCCCCGGTGTTATTTGATAGCTGGCGGTCCAATTACAGGATGGAGTTCCTTAGAATCCAGAGCTCTTTCTGGAAGTCACCAGGTCCTAAGACACATATGTTCAAAAGGACACATTGGCTCCAACCATAGGGCTTATCCATCCCACACCGTGAAGTTCTGTTCAAGCCTCAAGCTAAGAGGTTTTAATCCTCATTCCCAAGGCTGGGGAGATGTCTCAGTGGGTGAACCACTTGCCATGCAAGCTTGTACAGTAGAGTTCAGATCCCTAGACTCCACACAATGTTGGTTAGGCATGGTGGCCTACTTCTAATCACAGTGCTCAGGAGGCGGAGACAGAGTATCTTCGCAGCAACCTGGCTAGCAAGACTAGCTGAATGGACAAACTCTGGGTTCAAGAGACCCAGCTTCAATAAGGTTGAAAATGATTGAAAAAGACGGTGAATTCCTATACCTGCATGTTCGAATATATGTATACATGTGAACATGCATAAACACAAACATATAAAATATATACATATGCCACAAAATGGAATCCCCATTCCCATTTTCTCACTAGATCACTGCAATCCTCCAGGAAACTCAAACCTAGCGTGTTCGGGACAGAGTGACACAGGCATCCCCCGCTAGCCCCAGCGATCCCTGTCTCCTTGAAATGGTGCCCTGTGTCATCCTCTTTCAGACAGAATAAGGCTGGCCTCATACCCGGAGGTGACAGGCTACTGCAGAAAGTTGGTATGCAAGCCAGTGTGGCTCTGCCTTGCTTGTCTTTGGGCCACTGGTCTGGGGAGAATCAGCTGTCACTGTTGTAAGGATGCCCAGGGTGCCCAACGAAGAGGCTCAGTGAAGAAATGCAACCTCCTGCCAGGAATCAGCATTAATTCACCGGACACTGGAGCGAGCCACCCTACAAACAGACTGCTCCCTGAAGTCCGCTAGACTGCATCCTGGGAACACAGCTTGACAATGACCTCCTGCAGGACTCTGTCCCGGAGCTGTCCACATAAGATGTTTTTTAATTTTTGACCCGCATAAACCGGGTAAGAAAAGAAATGTTTATCACGTTAAGCTGGGAGGTTTTAGCCTAGTTTTGTTTTTTGGGTTTTTTTTTTTTGTTTTTTTGTTTTTTTTAACACAGCAAGAGATAACTGATACACAGGAAAAGGAAACACATTCCTTGGGACTTCCCTTGCCGGAAGACTTGAAAGACATAGGAGGTCTATTTTTCTACTTCTTCCCAGGCACACTACTAGAGCAGGAACTGACCTACAAGTGGAAAATGTACTGTCACTCATAAAATGACAATCATCACTAATAAACTGATGACGATAGCAGATGTTCTTTTCTCTGCATCCGCCATGAGCGGGTCTCTCATGGTATCTTTATCTTTAAAATCCAGTGATTTTTTTTTTTTTACTGCCCTTGGTTTATAGATGGGAAAAGTCCGGTCTCCTGGTGGGAAAGCAGCTAAGGAAATACAGGCAGAACATGACAGAGCTGGGAATTTAAGCCCATATCCTTTCAAGTGGTCCATCCAACTGACTTGAGGTCCATCTGGTGGATTGACACATCTAATAAAGTAAGATCAGTCCCTTCCTTTCCCTTATTCCTGAGAACTGTTTCTCATGGACACACTTTCCTAAAGATACAGCTTCCACAGAGATTGTATGTTCCCAAGGGAATGGAATGGGCTCTGCTATGCTCTCAGAAATCCTTGTGTGATCCCCACAGTATGTGTGCCCTGAGAAAATGCTCCAGCTGAAAGCAAACAGTACCTAGCATGTCCAGTGGTTCCTTATATGATAAACTCAAATATTTTGTAACATACAAAGATATCGGAAGGAAGCAGATAGGATTCAAAGTGATTATGTTCATAAACTCCATTTTGTTTAATTCCTTACTCAATGTGTACCTACTCTTGCTTGTATTCGCACGTTTACATGTGTGGGTGCTCATGTGTATATATGCATGTGCAGACACATGGATGTGCGCATGCGTGTGGAGGCTGGAGGTCAACCTCAGATGCTGTTCCTCAGAGCTGTCTACCATGTGTTTCAAGACAAAGATTCCCACTGGCCTGGAACTCACCGGTGGTGCTAAGTTGTCTCCATCTCTTCAGCACGAGCTTAAATGTGCACAACACAATGCCTGGTTTATATGGGTTTGAGGGATCAAACTTAGTCCTCATGTTTGCAAGAGAGCCCCTTACTAACCAAGCTATCTCCCTAGATCTTTTAAAACACACACACACAAACGCACGTGAATGCATGCACGTACGCACGCACATGTGCGGGCAGGAATATACTATTAACACCGTTCTACACGTTCTACTTTTCAATTAACACTTGATGATCATTCCCCATTAGTACACATTGATCCACCTAATTCATTTAAGGGCAGCTTAATGCTCCCTTGTATGAATGCAGCAATTGTGTTATGGTCTGGCCCTCTCCTGGTGGACATTTTAGATGAACACCAGACTTTCGTGCTGATAAGTAACGCTGTCACAAGCATCCTTAGAAACCATGATTTATCATAGTCTCATGAGCCCCAGAACCTGAGTACCAGCTCAGAAGCCCTGAGTGAATCAGAATCAGTAAAAAGAAAAGGAGCGGGATGCTCGGGGACAGGACAAATGGCCACGACAGACTGACAGGAGGAAGGAGACATAAGACTCTGAAGAGCAGACAACCCCATGGGAGGAGGTGGGTTTCATGTGACAGACATATATGAGCAGGACATATATGCATGAGAACACTACTGTGGAGCTCACTATTTTCTATAATAACTTTAAAAAGCATTAATTTAAAAAAAAAGCAGACACAAGACTTAAAGCATAAAATGGGGTGAAGCTAGTTAGCAGAAGGACCTTACAGTCCAAAATGACATATCGGGTCCTCAGGATGTAATAATTAGTCCTCAGAAAACCACTCAGTTGTGGAGGTGGGGAGGGGCTGAACTCTTTTCTCTGCGCTCTGTTTAAGAAGGCAAGAAAGTGTGGATTACTTTCGTCTAAAATGATGACGCTAAGGAAGGGCCAGCACTTAAAGGTACAGATGTCAACCACGGATGTGGCACGTGCCAGAGCCCCTGGCTGCAACAGACTTCTAATATACAAAAACCAACTCCTCTTCTAGAAAGCAGCAGAGGCAGAGAAGACCTGAAGAGTACAGAGTCCGGAATGGTGTGAAGTTTTCCCGCTCTTAGCCTCTGAGAGCCCTCCTCCTCCTCCTCCTCCTCCTCCTCCTCCTCCTCCTCCTCCTCCGAGGCATCTGGTGAGTATCCCTTGACTTGACACAGCTCACGCTGGAGGAAAGAATGTGTTTGATGTGGGAGAACAAGGCCATTATTTAAACTGATGTCTGACCCAAAGCGGGGACCCTGGTGACCCACAAAGATCTCGGGGAAGACCTCCTCAAGGGACGCCTAGCAAGTCTCCCCTCGCTCTCTCATCCGCCATCACTCCTGGCTGATTAAGCAGAGGGTGGAGCTAGTCTCCAGATGTGTCCTCTGAAGAGTTCCCATTTAACCACATTAATAGCAATAAACTATGAATAATTAATGGATTGTTGCTGCAATTAGCAAGACAAACACCAGCATCGTGCTAACTGCTTTATGTTGCTCTGTAGCTCCACACACAGAGATGAGAGAGCTGAGATCAGAGGCAAAGGAGACAGTGGTTGCTATGGAGAAGGCACTGCTGAGGGACAACTCCATTACAAGGGAGCAGAACTGTTCTTCCCGTGTCCACAGTCATGCCTGCCATTTAGCCAGCGCTGCGCCGTGTGACATTTCCCCGTCTCTTGAAGACAGACTCCCAAAATAAGAGCCTTGGCAAGATGTCAACAGAAGCTGCCCAGATGAGACCAGAACAAATCAAGTCCTCCAAAAGAGGCCGTGGGTGACAAGCTTCAAGGCCACGTTTAGATTCGGGGACTTGGTAGGTTTCTTTTCTTTTTTGCGAGATACTAATCCTAGTTAGAGGACTCCTTTCCTCCTATTCATTCTAACCCAATATCACTACCCCCCATCTCCCGACACAAAGCTGGGAGTTTCCTCTGAGATGGATAGGGAGCTGGGGAAACAACTCAAGCACGTGAACCTGAGTCTGGATCCCCGGCACTCACACAGATCAAAGCAAACATGGTGGCGTGGGTCTGTAACCCTCGTGTTGGTGCGCAGAGACAAGCAGATCCCTGGAACTTGCTGGCCAGCCGGTCTAGCCAATCAGCGAGAGACCCGGTCTCAGAAGAGAAAGTAGGAAACAGTAGCGATTAGACAGCACCCAACATTGACCTCTGGCCCCCACACGCACATACACACATGTGTACACACATGCACACGTGCAGACTAAAACACACATACGAAAATGGCGGATAGGCTTTTGATAGCTTTTTGATAAAACATGTTAGGAATCGTAATCCAAATAAGGAAGGGAGAGTCTACCTGCTGATGGGCCCTAACTCATCAAGGGCACATGACAAACACAGGTGAGCAGTAGTGACCCAGATGAAGATGACAGCCTACAATAGACATTTGTCACAAAGTCCTAACATGACTTCTGGTCTAGAAGTATAAAGTAGAAAAAGACAAGATCTCCTGAGTAAATTGGGAGCATGGGGACCTTGGGGGAGAATTGAAGGAGGGAGGGGAGAGGCAGGGAGGGGAGCAAAGAAAAATGTAGAGCTCAATAAATACCAATAAAAAAATTCTGGTCTAACTACTGAAACAATCAGACAATAACAAGGAAGTAAAGCCCACATCATTCCTCCATCCCCATTTCAAGTTTCCTCCCAAGGCGCTTTCTAAATACCTCCCACGCAGGCGTACTCACAGACAGTGGTGCAAGTCGGTCCTACTTGGTACTTCGTGCCTGAGTGGGAAGCCAGAGCTTCGGCTGCATTCCTCGCCACATCATCCTGGGAGGTGAGCAGAGACCAGTGAGCGCTGGGGAAGCATGCGCTAGAGACTCTGGCTGGAAGAGCTTCGCGCAAGTTTTCCTAAGGCCTAGAGAGCTACTTGCCAAGCCCGAGGGGGATCTAGTTAAGACAGAGTACTGAGATATCCTAAAGGAGAGGAATGTCGAGTTCAGGAACATGACCGAAGGCCAAGTATGCTCAAGAGAAAGGAGGCCTTGAATAGAGAACCAAAATTTGGTCCACATCTAGCCATGAGTCTAGGTGGGGCTTCTTCAACACACAGACTTGTGGGCTAGCGGTGGCCTGGAAACAGGATGGAGCCCCAGCAGACCATACCAGCATGGGGCAAAGGCTTGCAGCTATCCTGAAGATGCCACTCCTACTCCTACTGGTCCACCTATAGGTACCTTTCCTATTCCAGGAGTGAGTCATGGCTGTGACACAGAACCCCCAGGCTATGACCTATGACCTTTACTTCTTCCTTAACCAGAGCGAAGGCGCCTCCCCTTCCCATTAGGGCGCCAACCATAGTCTTTAGCAATTAGCGAACCTGTGTCATGTTCTAGTTAGAAAATCAAATGTGCAGGCTGGACAAAGTCTTAGAACTCAGAGAGATGAGAGAGGGACTATCTTCTTTCTGTCCCTAGTGGGTCTGATGGCACAAATCAAAGCGCAGGGAAGTATTCTCTAAGGCGCCTGTATTTGCCCTCGAAAGCTATGTAGCTCAGTCAGCCACCTTGGCTGTGCCAAAGACACTTAAGTGGTCGGGGACAAGGTAGAGACCCTCCATCACTTACCAGCTCTTCAGCATCTGGGGCCTTCTTGACTGTGTACCCATAGGGATACATCAGCAGCTGTGAGTAGCTATGTAGGTCAATGAAGCATTTGAAATCCCCGTGCTTTTGAATAAAATCCACCACTGATTTCACCTCCACTTCAGAATTAGGGTGGGAGCCATGGTACACTTCAGAGCAGGGGTTATGGCTGGCCCCTTCTCCTGTGGAGAAGAGTTGATCCGTAACAAGTAACCCAAAGGCCAAGAACAGACATGAGGACTGTCAACCCCCCAAGTCTGACTGGAATGGTAGACAGGTATTTATCAAGATGCCCCTAAGAATCTATTCATGGCAGGTACAGATTCTAGGGAAGGGACAAGGAGGGAGTTTAGGGGCGGGGACGTTGCTACAAATGAGAAGGAAAAGTATTGCGACTTTTTTAAGTGGATAGAGTTGACCTCGTATTGTGCTAATAGCAGTTGTCATAAATAATTAATGCCACACTCAAGAACAAGTTGTAATTAATAAGTATGCTTGATAATTAATATGAATACCAATAAATAATGAAAATGACTCCATTTATTCTGGTGTCAACTTATTCTATTGGTTCAGGTCTTAATGGCCAACTGCTGCCAAAAATAATCTATTGTTGTGATTTTAAAAAAATTCCTTGATTACTTAACAGGTATTTAGATAGATTGCCTTCTGCATTGTTTCAAAGCATGCCTTGGCATGTGAGTTTGCGTGTGTGTGTATGTGTGTGTGTGTGTGTGCATGTGTGCGTGCGTGTACGTACACACGTGTGTGTGTGTGTGTGTGTGTGTGTGTGTGTGTGTGTAAGAGTGAGAGACAGTCATGACTGACTGACTGACTGACTGGCTGGCTAGCTGGTTACCATCCTCCAATCATTATTTTCCCTGTGATTTTTATGACAGTTCTATATAATTAAAATAAATCCACTCAAAACAAAATACTGGGATACTAGGGTATAGCTCAATGGTAAAGAGCTTGCCTGGCGCACACAGGTCCTGGATTTGATTCCTGGTACAGCAAAAAAGTAAAATAAATACATATAATTTAGTTTGTTTTGTTTTTGTTTTCAACACAGGGTTTCATACGCAGATTTTACATAGTCCACATAGGCCTTGAGCTCGTAAGTTTAAAACTGGAGGGTGAAGTTTATTTGGTGATTTTTTTTTGTCAGTTATGTAATCTTGAGATTATCCTTGAGTTTCAAGAACAAAAATCCATTCGATGGGCAAGAAGAACAAAATACATGTACAATAGGGGTACTTTTGTGGGGATGGCTTTTAAGCGGCTGGATCTCAGAACCCAGATCACCTAATTCTTGCTTTCCATGTCTGCTAGCAAGCAGAAGAGGGGCTGCTAGAATTTAAGTTTTGCTACAGGCCCATTAGAGTAACAGTGCGAACTGTTCTCTTTTGGCTTGCCGCCAGGAACCCTTCTACCCAGCCACAATTTGCCCAGGCAAAGCTGGAATGGCCAGGGCTAAAGAGGGGCCTTGGAATCATGCGTCTAAGATGCGTGTGGTTTTTAAAACATTAGTGTAAAAAGCAGTTCAGTCGTGGAGCACTCGACTAGAATGTGCAAAGCCTCACCACAACAAATCAATTAGGTAAATAAATAAATATTTGAAACTAACATAGTCATAATCACAATGCAAAGACCATCTGACCCACTGTTTTCTCAGGAGGACAGAGATTACTGAATCAGTCCCTTTCAAAATTACAGCAATAACACTTAAAAACAAAACAGAACACACACAGACACAGAGAGCCTCAGGGAGGTCCCGGGGTCTTGCAGTGAATGGAAGAAGAGCAGAATGAAGACTGGCTTCCTATCCCACCCTGCAGGCATTCGTGGACAGGTTTATCCAGTGCTGTGGGGTTGACTCCGTCCCCCCACCTACCTGCGAAACTGGCATTCCAGTTTCTGTTTGGGTCAGCTCCAATACAACGGCTTCCTGGGTTCCGGGACCGTGTCTTCCTCCATAATCGGTTCTGAAAAAGCCCGCAAACACTCAGGGTATGTCAGGATACAGGAGCAGTAAAGGTTTCTCTGGAAGTTAAGACCACAGCAGATGGGCTGAGCTGCATGGGGCCCTGCCTAGACTCCAGTCCACTGCCTTGGCACTCTGCTGTCAACCCTCACGGGGGAGATGGTGCACCTCTGGCTTTAAGAAGGAATTTGGGACCAGGTATGGTGACATACACCTTTAATCCAAATACGTGAGAGGCAGAGGCAGGTAGATCTCTGTGCCTTTGAAGCCAACTTGCTTAACGTAGCTCCAAGCCAATCGGGAATACATACATAGTAAGACACTGTCGCAAAAAAAAAAAAAAAAAAAAAAAAGACAGTGACCCCCCTCAAACTGCCCTGATGAGAACTTTCTATAGACGAACCAAGCTGGTCCCATCTGGATGCATCGAATCCCTATTGTCTCGTGCAGAAAGGGAAGCAATGACCACTGAACATCACCCACGCAGCAGACATACAACGGGGCCTATTATATTCCAAGGCAGTCACCTGAATTCAATCACGCTCTCAAGCAGGGAATAAGGGAACAAATTAAATCCCACAACAAAGAAGCCATCAAGCAAAAGCGGAATGTGAGACATTATACAGGAAATTACTTAGTTTCTCCAACAAATGAATGACATTTTAAAAGGATGTGTTTGGGGTGCTACTGGATGAATAAAGACATCAGAGACACAGCCTCAGCTCCCGTGCACAGACCTTATTGGATCCTGACTTCGACAAATTGACTCCTAAGAGATGGTTTTTTAAAAAACATAATAACAGGGGAGTGTTAGGGGATATTAAAGAACTTCCATTAATTTTTCAAAGGTGACAGTGCAGTTGTGGGTTTGGGGGTTTTTTTTTTATTATTATTATCAGCAGCTAGAGATGCATGCTAAGGTCGTTGTAGATGAAATAACATGATGTCTGGGATTTGCTTTAAAATATGTCAAGAAAATAAATTGTGTGGGAGAGAAAAAGATGAACAGAAGATAGGTAAAACGTTGAAAATTGTTCAAGACCCACAATAGAGAGTTTCTTAGACTATTCTCTCTAAAATAGCAATAATATATTCCCTGGTGGCTCAGAGGATGACTGGAAAAGAAAAACCCCAAAGGAGCATCTAACACACACGTTAGTGGAAATCTTCTCCAAAGGCACTCGCAAAATATGGAATCCAACCAGGGAGTTGAGCCCAGGCCCCGGCCATTTAGAATTACTCACATGGGTTTGTGTGTACACATATCCATCAGGATTGGCCACGGGCAGCACAAAAATATCCACTTTCTCCAAGATGGAGGTGACAGCTGGATCCTTTTGGTAATCAGTCACAATCTAAGCAGAGACAAGACCCTTGTCAGCGATATCATGGCAGAGTGGGTTTGTAGGTCCATCCAGGTGTTTCCCTGAGATGCCCAGCACCCTGCTAAGATGGATGCTCTTGGATAGCCTCTACCCTCTGAAGCCCCATGGGCTCTCTCTAAAGCCCTCTGAGTCCCTCAAAGCCTGGGGACGGGATTGCACGACTGTATTAACTGCAGTGGTCGAGTGACAGGAGGTGGCTCTGTTCACTCCTTCCACGTACTCCGCCCTTTTCTCCCGGCACTGACTCAAAGGAGTTTCTTGAAGGATTTGGAGGCAAAATGAGAACTCAGGGACCCTGCAGAGCTTGGAAGGGGATGAAGGCGAAACGGATCTCAGTTAGGTGCTGAGTGAGGCCCTGATCCCTTTTGCAGGGTCCACCTTTGAAATCCGTTAGCTTGTTCGCAAGCACGTCACTTTACCACAGCGAGAGGGCTGACAGAGGAGCTTTGACGGTTTACTTCCCCCACCCGAGAAGATGCCAGCCTACTAAGTCTGTGCACAGTAGCTTCCTACCTCATCCCCTGGGCCCAGCTACACAGGATGGATCTGTCCCCCCTACCCCAAGCCCACCAGAACCCTTGGCTAATTCCGGGCGACATGACCTTCCTCGCAGTCCAGATGGCAGTGGCCTGTGAGATCCACTCACGGGAATGGATGCCCGCATTCAGCCAAATGGCAGGCCTCTTCTTGCCTCCTCCCGTGCTGAACTGTAGAAGGGAAGAGAGGCCGGAAAATGACCCGCCAGTTCCCGTCTCTCCTCACCTCTCCTCTCCCCAGCCCACTCCTATTCATTTAATTCATTTAAGATAATTCAGAGACCAAATGTTCCTGAGGGCACCGTCTATTTATCGGGCTTATCCGTGACCTGGGAGCTTAATTGGTTGGCTGCGGCTCTGGGCAGCCCAAACCTCTCCAGCTTTGAGAGCAAATGGAAAGGAGAAACAATTGGTATCGTGGGTCAGAATGCTAGTGTGGTTGGAAAAGAATAGTGTGTCCCTTGAAAGATCTCGAATGGTCTCCCAGCAGAGATAAACACAAGGGCTCACGAACCAGACTCTTCTGCTGAGGTAATAAATGAATTCGGTTTTAAATTGCCAAGGAAGCTTCACTATAGCTCTTTGTAAATAGCGGTAATGAATTCTGCTGCTGCCTTTGCCGTTGCACCGGGGCTCTGTGGGTCAGAGCTTGGTGCTAATGAAGCCGGGGTCTCTATCAGATGGGCAAATAATCTAAACGTAATTATTTTAAAGGAGCCAGCTCAGCGGTGTGTCTCCCCTCCTGCCAGCTATTTGCCGTAAACTTGGCTTCTACGAAGCTAAGGGGTTGGCGAACTCTTAGCAACCCCAGTTGTTCTGCGGATTTTATGCCCAAATTCCTTTCCATGCATTCAGCTGGATTATCTACGTAATTTGTGTCATTGTCATAGCTCTCTACCTCTTTTGCCAAGACAGATGTGAATAGAAATATCTGGAAATGGGGCTCCATGCAGCCAACAACCTGAGGTTGGACTTAGGTTACATCTACTCTGATGTAAGCCACCTGAGTTCTGGGCCTAACTGGCTAGGTGGGAAAGGCAGAATGTGGGCCTCTGAGAGTCTTAAGGAATGCTAACGGCCTCTCCTTTGAGCCTCTCAGAATGGGATATGCTCTTTCTAACACCCCTACAGACAAGAGCAGGGGATTCAATCAGATCAAAATATCTGATTAAGCAAAGATGACTTGAAACTACAATCCCTTCCTGAGAACCAGTGGGGTTACAAAGCTGGCCTCTCTTTGGCAGACCTTAGCTGGGTACTGGAAATTATGATCCAGAAGTTTGCGTCAAGTCAGGACCCTTGGAAGGGCCTTAGGTCTCACCTTCAGAACATACATGGGTCGCTTTTCAAATGTCTCTCCGATCTTCACTCTGCTTGCCAGGTCGGGGAAGTCTGTGGCGATACTGTCCATCTCGTGGTAAATCTGAAGTGTAGAAAAGTGAACCAAAGACACTTTTTAAAGATTTTTTTTTTTTAATTTTTTGAGTTGCGGTTTTCCTATGTAGCCCACCCTAGTCCTGAACTTGAAGTCTCCCTACCTCATTCTTGCAAAAGCTGCAATAACAGGCATGCGCCACTACTCAATGATATTTTAAAATCCTGTTCCATTGTGCAAGCCAGGCAGTGGTGGCGTACACCTTTAATCTCAGCACTCGGGAAGAAGAGGCAGGTGGATCTCTGTGAGTTCGAGGCCAGCCTGGTCTACAGAGTAAGTTCCAGAGCAGTCAGGGCTATACAGGGAAATCCTTTCTTGAAAAAAGCAAAAAATTAAAAGAATAAAAAAATAATTCTATTCCATTATTGGCTGGGTATCTATGAGCCTTATCTTGTCACTCTTGAGTTCCTTTTCGAACCTTGGGGTTGGCCGCATTACTGGCATGAAGTGCTACGACAGGGAATTGCCTGCACAGCTACTTTCTGCAGTTTTCTAGAGGATACACATGTCAGTTGTCTGCAAAGTTGTAGTCCACTTAGGTAAAGCAGAGAGACTTAAACAGATATTGCTCCAAAGTGTGGCTCTTGGCATCATGCTGGACTGGATCATCAGAATAGGCCTGCCTACTAATGCTCTGAATGGCAGGACTCGCTAAATTGTTCTCTACTAGAAAACAAAACAAAACAACAACAACAAAAAAAAAACCATTCACAATGTGTATATGTTCCCCACACAAACAATACAAATAAAGTATAATATAAAATAAAAAAAGAAGCCACATGTGGTATGCCTTTGGTCCTAGCACTCAGGAGGCAGAGACAGGTAGATCTCTGTGAGTTCAAGGTCAGCCTGGTCACAGAGTAAGTTCTAGGGTATCTAGGGCTACACAGAGAAACTCTGTCTCAAAAAAAGAAAAAAAAAGCTAAAATAAAATAAGAAATATAAATGGCTCCATGAATAAAATGCTCACCATGAAAGAGGACCTGAGCCCAGGCTCCCTAAAACCACATAAAAAGCTGGGCAGGAAACTGGTCATCAAAAGAACAAATAATCCAATTAAAAAATGGGGTGCAGACCTTAACAGAGAACTCTCAACAGAGGAATCTAAAATGGCTGAAAGACACTTCAGGAAATGCTCAACATCCTTAGCCATCAGAGAAATGCAAATCAAAACAACTCTGAGATGCCATCTTATACCTGTAAGAATGGCCAAAATCAAAGACACTGATGACAACTTATGCTGGAGAGGTTGTGGGGTAAAGGGAACACTTCTGCATTGCTGGTGGGAATGTAAGCTGGTACAACCCCTTTGGATGTCAGTGTGGCGATTTCTCAGAAAACTAGGAAAAGACCTTCTTCAAGACCCAGTAATACCACTTTTGGGCATATATCCAAAGGATTCTCAATCATACCACAAGGACATGTGCTCAACTATGTTCATAGCAGCATTGTTTGTCACAGACAGAAACTGAAAACAACCTAATTGCCCCTTGACCAAAGAATGGATAAGGAAAATGTGGTACATTTACACAATGGAGTACTACACAGCAGAAAAAAATGGCATCTTGAAATTTGCGGACAAATTGATGGATCTAGAAAACATCATATTGAGTGAGGTAACCCAGACCCAAAAAGACAAATATCATATGTACTCACTCAAAAGTGGCATTTAGACATAAAGTAAAGAAAACCAGCCTACAAATCATAATCCCAGAGAACCTAGACAACAAAGAGGACCCTAAGAGAGACATACATGGGTTTAATCTACTTGGGAAGTATCTCCTGAGTAAATTGGGAGTATGAGGACCATGGGAGAAAGTGGGGGGAAGAGAAAGGGAGGGGAGCAGAGAAAAATATATAGCTCAATAAAAACAATTTTAAAAAAAGAAGAAAACTTGGCGTGGTGGTGTGCACTGTAACTCTAGTGATGGGAAACACAGACAGGAGGATCCCTGAGGCCCACTGGCCAGCCAGTCTGAGCCCAGGTTCAATAAGAGCTCCTGTCTCATAAAAATAATAAATAAGGGAGAGAGTAACAGAGGAATAAAATTCTTGTTTATCACACAAAGGTCTTGGAATGTTGAATATCTAACTCAGTTAATAGAATACTTGTTGAGCATTCATGAGCCACTGGGTTCTATCCCCAGGACCCCATACATCAGGGGTGGTAGTACACACCTATAATGGCAGCATTCAGAAAGCAGAAGGATCCCGAGTTCCAGGTCATCCTCAACTACATCTGGAACTGGAGGCCATGCCGACATGCTATGTAAGACTTTGTCTCAAAACAAAGGGGAGGGGAGACATCCTGAAAATTCTTCCAACCCACAGACTCTAGAGACTGAAGAAAAGCAGAGTAGATGCCATGGGCCATGAGAAAAAGAAAGTCACCCACAAAAAGTTAAAACAAGCTGATTGTGGTGCAGCCCGCCTTAATCCCAGCACTCGGGCTGCAGAAGCAGGAGGATCTCTGTGAGTCTGAGGCCAGCCAGGTCTACAGAGTGAGTTCCAGAACAGCCAGAACTACACAGAGAGATCCTGTCTCAAAAACAGAAAGAAAGGAAGAGAGAGAGAGAGAGAGAGAGAGAGAGAGAGAGAGAGATATTAAGCACCAGACTGGGGCCATTGATGACTTAGCAGGCACAAGCTACCATGTCTGACAACGTGAGGTCTGCATTTGACTCCTGGCACACATATGATGGAAGGAGAAAACTGTTTGTCCTCTAGTCTTCCACATTAGTTCCATGGCACATGAACACCCATACACATAGATAGATAGATAGATAGATAGATAGATAGATAGATAGATAGATAGATAGACAGATGAGAGGGAGATAGATAATAGGCAAGAAATGTATAGGTTGATAAATGGAAAATTGTTTTAAAAACCACCAAGCTATACCAGATGTGAGGTGCAAATTCACATGTCAGCCATCGCCACACAAAGACTTGAAATCAGAAACATTGGCAGCAGGAAACGTGGGATTCCCACTGGAGACCTAGAATAGCCTAAGTGGTACCAAGACATGAGCCACTCAGAGTTGGTTTTAAGAAGAACCCCGGATGAGCTGGTCAAGAGAGAGAGAGGGCACAGTCACAGGCCTCTGGGAACAAGGGCTAGCTAGAGGTCACTTCACTGTACAAGGGGCACCCGAGTCAGTGGGAACAGAAGCAAGCAGATGAGAAAATGAGGCAGACAGACAGCTGGAAAGGTAAGTGGATGGCCTCTCTTGGTCCCTGGTTGACATTTGCAATGGGCTAGCTCAGCTGGGGAGGGCACCACATTAGTGAGGCTAATGGGTTTGATCTCTGTGTGGGCCCTGAGCTCTGCTTTCACCCGTGGCCCGAGACTGAACTGAACTCCTAACTTTATCCAGCTGTTTTACAGATGTATGTCATTGGTCACAAGAGGGCTCAAGGGGCAGAACTGTTGGAAGTGTATACAATAAACAAAGCTACTGACAACCATGGGAAAGAAGTAGAAATAGTTGGCCAGCCTTTGAATTAATTCCTCATCTGGGAGAAAAACAACTTGAGGTATACGCCTCATGAAAAAGGTGCCAGGAACGTGGTGTCTGCACATAAAGAACAGCACGTAATAAGGTAGAGGAGGGAGATGAGCAGCTTAGATTTGGGAGGAGGTCCCGAGCTAGGAGAGTCTGCAAGCTAACGAAAGAGACACTTGGGACAAAAGAGACCCACGTTGCCAATGATACTGTTCCATTCTGAGGTCCCTTTTGACTTCTCAAGTTCCAGTATCATATGAAATTATTCAGCTCCAAATTTTTCATTTGAAAGTTTGGCTTACCTTGAAAGTCAGCTATATAAAGTGGTTTCTAACTACACACAGCACCAAATTGCACCGTGGAACGAGTATACGGTATAGGGAGTCATGATAAATGAGTGGAAATATTTGGTTAACCTTGGAAATAACCACTTGTCTGCTTGCCCGGAGTACATGGCATTTGATTCTGTGCTAGGGATTCCAATGGGGGAGAAGGCTGAATTACAAGGACTGGAACGACCGCCATTATATCATGGTTTCCTTTAAAAGGCTGCTTGAGCAGTGTGTCTGTCAGGGAAACTGCAGGTGTGTTTCACGGGCACATAGGTGCTGGTGGGGGTTAAACAACCAGAGGGGAAGGCTTTAAAGTGCACACATTTTAGTCCCTTCCGTGAAGTGATACGGTGCTGAAGTTGGATGGAAGGAGAGAGGTTACAAAGCCGGGCAAGCGGAGAGCGTTGGCCTCAAACGTGCTTTGAAACACTTACAGCTTCCAAGGAATGGTAAGATCCGTAGTTGAAGCTGTCGCCACTCCGCTCCTGCCCTTCACTGTGTTGCATTTCCTTGTCTTCATTATCTAAAAGGGCCTGAAAAAAAATAAATAAAAAAGACACAGCAACATGGTGAAGAAGGGATCCCCTGGAGATACAGGTTTATCTGGGTGCACAGATTGGCCAAGATGGCATCACCCTCAGGGTAATAAGCAACACAAATGTCTGAGGTCTAAAGGGGCTAGAGACCGCAAATGATACAAACCAGAGATTACAATTCAAGAGAAGGTGAGTTCATGCTGCATACAGCTAAAATCTCTTTCATCTTAACTACATCACATTCAAGTGCTACTAATTCCCAAAAGGTTTCCATTAATTCTGTGGGGTAAGACAATGGAATTATCAGTGTTCCTAAGATGAAGGTCTTTATTCCCTAACCTTCTTGGTTCTATTGAAACTTTTCGGCATGTGAAACTAGTGCAATGTTCATACCCAGAAGAAGAGCTGTCTATAATTATGTGTGTTGATTATGCAGCCGGTGTGACACAATTAAAAATAATAACAAACCATCCTGCCTTTCATTTAAAAAAAGAGGGTCAGATTTTTTCCCATATATCTATAAAACCTTGCTTTTTAATATCCAATTTCCATTATCCCCCCAAAACCCGCTTGCTCCCTGGAAGTAACATGTGCGCGATTCGGCTTTTCTACGGTACGAAATCTCTAGGCATCAGCTCGCATCTGGTATCCAGTGGCTCTGAAGCACACAGCTTGGGAAGCCATTCAGAAACAAAGAAATTCTTATAAGCACTCATACTTTGAAGCTTCTTGGCAGATGTCTGCGCCATGTGAGGATGATTAATAAGCTCACAGCTGCTCACACCATCAGGAAAAACCTGGGCCAAATCAACAATTAGTCCATAACCCTCCTCGGTGAAGGAGAGAGCGTGAGTCAGGGGCACCGTCCTGCTGTTGAATGTAGGTTGTGGGGCTGTATGGCGCTGTTCCCTCTCCTGGGAGCTATTGGTGACATTCCCACTTTCTCAAAAGACTCCTCTTCTGATTGGTTCCCAGTATCCCCCACCCACCCATAGATACACACACTTGCCTTCTAACTTCAGATATGAAAAAGGAAGATGAGTGGTTACCTACGGAAGCATCCCTGGTGTGCCAGCTACTGTTAGATGTATTCTATATAGTTGATAGAAGCATTACCTCTATAAGCAATTGAAGTGGGAATCATGATCGCCATTTTAGCAAGGATGAAATGGAGGCTCATGAGGGCAGACGCTTGCCCAAGGACACAGACTAGTGGTTAGCAGGTCAGGACTTAGATGGAGATCTGTGCAGCTACCTATCCCTACAGCACGCTCACCCCGCAACGAGTTATTACACTCTGCTTCCATCTGTCTCAACTTCTTCACCTGGGAGGTGGGAAAGGATGACACTGGACATTCTTAAAACCTCCCAGGTCCAGTCTTATTGGTGGCTTCATCTTATTATGCAAGACCAGCGAGAGTTCCTGGCCTACCCACCTGGAGGTCTTCAATTGTCACCAAGTAGTCTAAGCCCTGGGACTTCAGGAAGGACTTGACAGGCAGCAGGCTGACAGAGGGGACGAGGATGTCCATGGGCCGACCAAAAGTGGAGGGAGATTTCCAGACATTGAGCTGAGGTGAACAGAAACACATCAGGTTAAAAAACAGCTCGGGTAAAACATGACATTGAGCTCAGGTTCTTAAGAACCACTGTTGGAAGTCAGGGTGACCCCTGAGTCCTGCCTAGGGACAGACATCCCCCATTTCACTGGCATATCTGGTCAGACATGTGGCCCAATACCTAACAAAGCCCAAGAGACATCGGTTGCTACAGGAAGCTGGAGCCCGCAGCTCAGGCCTCCCAACTAACAAAGCAGCAACAGAGCCCGGCAGGCCTTCTCCCCTGCCCCTCTCTCACTCGCTGCCCACCCGCGTGACTGGCATGTTGGCTAATACTCCATTATGAACGGAAAACACGCAGGGATAAAAACAAACACGAGGATCGTTCCCCCTCAAACTCGGAACATTCCAGAGGACGAAGAAGAACCACATACCTTAAGGTGGTCAGAATTCACTAGCTGAGTCAGTATTCTGATCTCGTCTTCATTTCTGACATTAATCCTAAAAACTTGGTCCCTGGAGAAGGGGAGGGAATAGGGAGAGGGCGATAATGGTGAGCTCTCAGCTGGCAAGTGGACCCCCGAACCCACCATCCCAGACAGGGCTGTGCTGCAGGGAAGGAAACAGTCTAGTCTTTGGTTATAATGTATAGCCATTAAAAACAAGGCTGTGTGGCAAGGATGGAAAAGTGCTTATGTCTAACTTTAAGGGGGATATTAAGTGAAGGAGCAGGACGCGGGATTGTATGTACGCCATGATTACGAGTATGGGAAAAGCAGATGGACTGGAAGCAAAACAGACAACGGAAATCAAGCAAACGCTGCCAGGGCTCGTTTGGGTCGTGGGATTATGGATGGCTTACTTTTTCCCCTCTTGTATCTGTTTTCTGCAATGTGGTCATATTACTTTATAATGAAAAACATATATATTTTTACAGAAAGGAATGTCCCTGAGTGAGGCTCCAGGCTGAGTCAAGACATAAAGAAACACTTCTTCACTGTCAAAGGCGAGGGCTGACACCCCGACGGAGGGAACCTTCATGCCTGAAAGAGCGGGGAACTTTTGGGAACAGACCCTCTGTCCTGGGAGGCCGGGAAGAGTGCACTAACTATTCCTCCCAGCCCCCCACATTTGCTTTGCAGTGGGATTGAACGTGGACTAGAGATTCATGGCTGCCTAGCGGGACCTGAGAGCGCCCGGAAGAAGCCTGTTTAGCGGCAGCCCCCCTCCTGTCGCTCGTCCTGCTCTTGTTTCCTATGCATCATTCAGCTTCTGCAGCGTTGGCAGGGGAAGAGGGCCCCCAAGTCCTGCGTGGGTGGGAGAAGGCTAGGCCTGAAAAGCCGTCTTTGAGCTCTCAGCTCGCAGAGAGCCAGCGGAGCCATTAGGCGTTGCTAGGTGACGGCCAAATGAATCCGCACTCGACTCTGTCACATGCGTCATTCCTGACAGGAGTGAATGCCGGAGGAGCTGCTGGAGAGGGATGTGGGCTGAAGGACCTGTTGACAGAGTAAATGGCTCTGTCACAGGGAACTAAATGTGAAGCTCACGTGGAAACTCCTCACCAGAAAACCGGTTCAATCCGGATGGACTTCCAGTGTTTCACTTAGTTCTGGAAAGTTCAGGGAAGAGCTAGGCCGGGTACAAAAGACAAGGCACACTGCAGAGCTGTTCTCAACACAGGTGACCGGACTGGGTAAGATGCCGGTACCCAAGTCTCACACCTTTTCACCCTAGCCCTCCGAGTCCTAGGGTCCTGGAAGTAGGCAGCTAACAGCATCCCATGAAACCTGCAGAGAACCCTACAGGAAGCCTAGTTTGGCTTCTCTGCTGAAGCTGCAATGGTTCCGACAGGGTTTGTACATGCCCGGCAGATTCAAGTCTGATCTCCAGTTGATCTAATGGATCTAATGGGCCCCTGGAAGTCGGTTTTGTGGAGTCAGTTCCTAAAAAAGTAAGTTTAAAAGACGGAGCATGGCACCCAAGACTCTCCGGCATCTTGACTTGCCACACGATCCCCAATTCTCACATACGCTGCTACCTCCATAATGCCACACACAGGAACCCTCGCCAAAGGCAGAATAGACAGGGTAACCCAATCTTGGATTGTCCACTTCCAAAGCTATGAGTGAAATAAATCTTTTTTTTTTTTCTTTGTATGTGTTCCAGCGTGTCAGTGAATAGTAATTATTAACCTCACCGGACCTAAAATTACCCAGGAGACAAGCCTCTGGCACACCTGTGAGGAGCTGTAGAGGTGAGGTGGGAAGAGCCAACCTAAAGGAAGTGGCCTCAGGCTTAGGACCTGGACTAATAGAGATGCAGTTAACACGGGTACCCGTGGCTCCCTTCTATGGACACAAGTGACCAGCTGCTTCAAGACTTCCCCTAGGATGGACCACATCCTCAAACTGTGAGCCAGAATAAGCCCTTCCTCCCTTGGGTTGCTTTTGTCAAAATATTTTATCTCAGCCACAGAAAGAGTAACGAAAGCACCCAGCTTCAAGGATTTTGTTATAGAAGCAGAGAGTTGACTAATATGTAACCCACGGGACCTGCAAAGAGTTGGACAACAGCCCAGAAAAGATGGGGTATCAAACTACCATTTCTCTGTCAAAGGCAAGCAGCCTCAAAGCAGGTTTGGTGGAGAGTAAACCCTTGTAACTGAGGATGAAGGCCAGTCTGGCAGACGCACACCCTGTATCCACCATTTCTAACACTCCAGAACAGGAGTGTCTTTAAGATGAGCATGCTAGGGGCCAGAGAGGCAGTTTGGCAGTTAAGCATACAGACTGTTCTTGCAAATGACCCATATTAGGTCCTCAGCACCCACATCTGACTGGCTCACAACTGCCCGTGACTCCTGTTCCAAGGGTAGCTGATGCCTCTGGCTTCCTCGGGCACACACACACACACACACACACACACACACACACACACAGACACATAATTAAAACTAATAAAAACAAATCTTTCTTCAATGCGCATGCTAGAAGGAGTGACATCTTGGGTGGCAAAATTAGGCCTTTTCCAAAGAGTGGTCACAGAGAAAGGGGGGTGGTGGTGGAGAAGGACCAGGGAAAGAAAGAGGGACAGCTAAAGAACTCTTTGGAGTATGAAGAGCAGACGACACATTCATCCAGGCTCTAATATGTGTGCATGTTCCTCTCTCCAACAGGGTGATGTCACAGCCTAACCCCCATGCTTCCAAGCACAGTCCATGACAATGGGACACAGTGACTTTACCGGCCCTGGAAAAATGTTCACAGCCCATTCTCTCACGTTCTAATGAGCCAAGATACACAGGCCAAAGACGCACACACCTGCCGTGTGCAGGAAGAGGCAAGGCAGACGATCTGGTACCGCATGGAGCACCTTCCCTGTCTCTCCCCCACCTTTGCATGCTTTGGTTCCAGCTCCCCTGAAAGTTCACGTTCATTCCACTCAGATGCCTTTGTGTGCCTTTGTACATGGTATTCCCTGTCCGTAAGCACCTGGTAGGCTCCCGCCTAATCTTCAAGACAAGGTCATGTGAAGCATGAAGCTTTCCCTAACCAAAGCTAAGTACAATAGCTCTAAAAATTGGTGGCGATGGTAGAGTAGGGTCTGCCATTCTCCTTATGAGCATCAGCATCGTGGTGTCAAAAAGAAGAGCGGCTACCATGCAAAGGGCAAGCTTTTTCTTGCCTTCGTTGACCTCATCTCTGCTGGGAAAATACCCTTTCCGGCTCCCGACGGGGCAGCTGGTTGAGCTCAGCCCGCTGCACTAGCTGGAATTCACTCAGAGACCTTGCCCTTTAGTTCTTTCTAGAGGTGGCAATTGGCCTGGGAGAAGGGAACTGTTGGGATTCGGGGTTTTTCGTCTGCCCCTCCTGCTCAGTATGGTTGTTCTAACAGCTCTTCTGGCTCTCTCCAACTCCCAGGACACCAAGATGTCTTTGGCATCATGACCGGTGACGTCTGCTCACTCACCCTCACACCTGTCCCATACTGGGGACGCTCAGTCATTGTTCCGGCAGCTCAGCTTCTACCCCTCCCCTATTACCAGGAAGGCAGCTAAGTGGTCAGTTCTCTGTGTCTCTCTCACCTCCATCCCTGCCCAGGCTTAGCAGCTATGACTAATAGTACTAAGAGGTGACCTCGGGAAACCCTGGGATGCTTGCCAGCTACCAGCTCTGCAACTACTTCCTGTTCTCCACCTGCCCAACACCTCCATGCATCCTGGCCACTGTCTCATCCTTAAGACATCTGAAAAGTAGGACAGGTGATACCAGGAGAAGGAGAGAGACCTGGGAGCTAGGAGAACCAAGCTGCAAGGGCAGGAGATGGGGTGGGGGGGGATAAACCACGATCCTCATGTCCGTTACCCAGTCTCCAGCCCGGCTTCCCAACCAATCAGATGCTCAGAGTCCAGCTCCCCTGCGGCCTCTCCGGCCACTGAATTGGGTGTCCACGACATGCAGACAGATCCCAAGAAAGATCCTTCTACCTCCACTGAGGTGCCTAATACTACAAAGTAAGAACAGACTGGGAGACGCCACAGCACGTTTGATTAGCACCGTTTGTAATCAGCTCCCGCACAGGGACCCTTTGTGTGCACAGCTCCCGCTGCGAATCCTCTAGCACCCAGCCCCGCTGGCTCAGCCCCGGTGCCCACTGTATCAGGAGAAAGGTCTGAATCGGGAAAAATAGAGATTTTTTTTCCTCCACATGAATAGACGCAGTGGGAGCCTGTCAGCTCCCTGCATCAGCCCACGCAGCAGTGAGTGTAGTCATGCACACCTACTGCTGAGCTGCCTGCGGAAGAATCTTCCTCCTTGGCCACCTGCTATGCCTAACCTCTCGGAGCTGTTTGGCAGCAGGGGCAGGTAGGAACCGTCATCCCCATAAAAGTTACTCAATCTCATGTAAGTAATTGCTTCAATAACCAGCCCTCGGGTCCCTTTAGCCAGATAACATAATAGAGAATAAGCTTGCATACACAGGTAGATCCGTGGCATGGAGCATTTCATTTGATTGACTTCTGCTACAGAAAAGGGTATGAGCTTTGCTTGCAGCATTCCGGCTTCCTGCTTACCAGCTAAGTAATTTGGGGCAGGTTCCTTAACCTTTTTAAGACCGTGGGTTTTTTTTTTCATGTTTAAATTGAGGAAAATAACAGCCTTGCCTGACAGAGTGGTTACATGATCCATAAGAGGATGCACACGAAGGCTCTTTGCAGAAGGCAGAGTGTTCCGCAGTGATGAGTTATTCTAATGCAGTCCTCTACCCGCGTACCAGAGCATCCCTGTCATTCCCCTGCCTCTCCGACTTCCTGTCCTCCATCAGTGCCACAGTCTTCTGTGGTGAGCGTGTGGCCCTGTGCACACACACTCACACCGAGGCCTGGTATGCATTTCCATAGTGTAGCTAAGCAAGACCCATTGGATCTCTTTGTTCCAGAAGCCTGGGAAACAACCAGCGATACATGGGCTTCACCACTGACTGAGACTCTGTCCCCAAAGCCTGTGACCCAGCTTCTCCCTGTAAGCCTTGCAGAAACTGGCAAAGCCTTTCTGGCTGTTCTTTCTAGGCAATGGTGTAAGAAATGCCTAGAACTGACCTTAGAAAGAGGGAGAGGGAAGACCCAGAATTAGGAGATTGGGGAGATGGGGAAGGCCTGTGGAGACCACTAGCTCTGGTTTCACAAAAGAAATCCGGTGTCAGAGAGAAGTGGCTGATCCAGGATGACACAGGGACAGAAGAGCTATAAAAGCCCA